TTGTTACTACTAGTAAGGCACTTGTTACTAGAAGCGATGCACTTGTTACTAGTAGCTTCTTGTTACTACTAGTGATTGCGTGATGATACCAGATCAAATGTTTGTAGCCTCGAGTCCAGATATTCCAGTCACAGCCAAGGCGCCGCAGATGTTCAGGCCACAGCTGATGAAATGAGAACTGAATATCAAAATGGTAGAACGGTGTGTTGTTTTTGTTGCTTCGCACGACAGGTTTTGTCCAATGCAGGGCACAACTGCAAAGAAGTGCATGAGTCTGCACGGATGCCAAGACCGTTACTTTTGGGTTCTACCTACCAGGCTACCACTACTAAGTTCATCCCGGGGAATGTAAGCACATTAAAGGTCCTTGCTATTCATCTTTCAGAGTGGAGTTCTGTCCATGTGTGCACTCGTAAGTTTGTAAATCACTCAAAAGCTTCAACTCAGGAGAGGGGATAGAGTAGGGCCATATGTATCGTTCACTAACTTGCAGGTTCTGCGACTGGTCGATGTCTCCAGCTTGGAGGTGGGAAATGCCCACACCTTGGCATCGAAGTCAGAAGTGCTGTGTGGACTACAACGACTATGTCAGCGACAACTGCTTTGATATGCAAGTTCGCTGATATTACGTGTGAAAGATTCAGAAAAGCCACGATGGACTTTTCCTTCGATTACTTATCCTTCAAGGAAAGATTGAGATGATTGGCATACAGATGTTTACCATGTTGAGGCATTTCACCACTTCGTGGACAGAGCCACCCTCAGGTTCTTAGTCTTAGGATGCTTTGGGACATTTGATCATTGAGCAGGACCCGCGAGATGTTTGGAATAAGGTGTTCCGATGCTGTTGCAGCAATTGGAACAACTCTCCGAAGATGATGAACGTGGCCCAGGCCGTGCAGTCGCCCCAGCGGTTGGTCCGTCGGTTTTAGGATTCTGCAAAGGTCAAGCCATAATGGGACGTATTTTCAGTATTTTGCAAAGGATTCTGTATTTTGCAAAGCGTATTTTGTCTCTTTCTGTCCCTTGTTATCATCACTGCTGTTGCTCTGGCACATTCGTCAGTTTATGGCCAGCTCTTTCCAAATGTCATGGTGGTGTTGCAGTGGGACAGCCCAGCTGGCAGCCAACCTCATGCAAGAAGAAGTGCTCACGCGAGAAGCATCGCTAGTTTATTATTACAAAGTAATGGGCATATACCCTCAGCGGAAGCCAATAAAGAGAAGAGCAAGGTGGAAGGGGTAATGCAAACTGACTAAGGCTCAGTTTGAAGGCACTTCAATTGTTGGGGCTGGCTGCTGTGATGCATAGGCAAGAGCGTTTCGATTGACGTCAACCGAGCACCAGATCTCCTGGAGACTGAAGCTATCAGATACTTTCATGGAAGTATGCCACAGCGTTAATTTTCATCAGGTAGAGCTGCCTGGGTTCTGTCAGGTTCACTGGGTTTTTTGCAAGTGGACTGCTTGCTGCCTTGTTTTACTTTGTGCCCATTGCCTGTGTTTGCAGGGTGAGTGACCTAGGTTCTGTTAGGTTCACTGGTCTTGGCAAGTGGATTACTCGCGGTTTGCACGTGTTTTCCCCCGCCCACCCACACCTCTTTATGGGGAGACATGACCATAGTGTTGACAGTCGACAGCGCTGAGGGCTTGAGGGAAGGAGTTGGATCTAATCTAGTGCTTCAGTACTGTTGTTCTGCTTGCATTTGGGAGATCTCCCTTTTGATGTTTGTCGGTTTCCCTTCACCGCATCACTGATGGCATCCCTGAGGATCCCTGTGTTCAGGTAGATGCCCAGCTACCTTTTTGTTCACAGAGTAGGGGCAGGATTTGGGAACTATTGAGGCCAGGGAATCCTTACATCGGTCACCCGTCAACCACTGACGGTTGCTTTTTGAGTTCACTTTAGCAGCTAAGCATCGAAAATTCACTCCTTGATGTCTTTTTCTGAGACCCGCAGGCCCTGCTTTCAGTCCTCCGTTCGTCTCCTGCTGGGACGGAGTTTGCAACCGCTGCAGCAAGCCTTACAGCAGCAGGCTCGGATAATACAATCTTCTGCGAAAGCTTCGCTTGGTTTACTCGGAAGTCTAGGACCCTAGGAGCAAGGACGCTACTAGGGACTCTTGGCCTTACTACTAGGAGCAAGGACGCTACTAGGAGCAAAGGGCATCGCTACTAGGAGCAAGGACGCTGGAAAGGGCTCGGTGAAGAGCCCAGTTGAGAAAGATCGGAAGATGATGTGAAGGCTCAACGCTGCAAATGGATTGCAAATATCATAGGTGATTGGCCAGGTCCACAAGGGAAGATTGGGATGTTGTTCGGATGGGAGGTTTATAAATGCTGTCATTTTATACAGAGAAGAACACTTGAATGAAGGATTGTCAAAGTGAAGAAATGTCGATTCAGGTGTCAAATCAATTTGTAGGCGAAGAGCTTGCGGTACTATAACTTTTGCAATGTTGATGCAGGTCTCCACAATGTGGTGGATGTTCGACATCGGCCAGTTTTCGAACACCAACAGCCCAGCGAAACACTTGCAGGTGTGGCTCACACCTGCACAAACTTGTGACAATCGCCAAACCGTTGAGAATGTAAGATGATTAAGATGCAGTTTGGATATGTTTGGACCTTGATTGCCACACCGGATCCAAACAAGCCTGCTGGGGTGAGAAGTGTTTAGAGTTTTATACATATATATATATATATATGTATATAAGTCTACTTCAACTCCTTGGGTGATCCTTCAAATACTTCAACATATTGTCCACGTTAAAGCTCCTAGTGCTTTGCCTTGTTCTATTTTGTTGGGTGCTGGAGGCGTTGCTTCGCTGCCTGGAAAAGGCTGAGGAGCCAAGCTTGGTCAGCTTTACGTATTTATGTTGCAGCATTGCTAGAGTTTGTTTCTTTCCCGCGGTGTAGTTGTATGTTTGACCGTCCAGAAGATACAGAAACTCACAATTCATGTGGTTTCAGCATCAGTTTTAGTCTAGACGGAGTGCTTGGAATGTTGTAGATCAAGGCCTTTGCATAGTTTTTCAGTTGATGACTGTATTTGTATACTTGCCATGGACAAGCAATGTTTAAGTAAGTTCTTTCAAGTCTGTTAAGCGTTGCTTGATCAAGTCCAATCGTCGCTAGCAAGACAAAAGCAGAGACGTACTGTAATGCACGACCTTTGTGTCTTGGACACCTTCAACTCTTTTCCCTCCAGGCTTTATTCGCAGGTCTTCGGGAGGCATTGCCTGAGGAGCTTCCGCGCCCGAGCTCCGAGCACTTTCAGAGCTGAGGAAGGGTTCTGGCCACGCGAAACTCCTTCTCAAAGCAATACAAAGTGGCATGTCTGATATGTTGTTGATTGCTACTCTGTACTGTATAGTGCCAGATCCTTTAGAGCTGACAAGTGGCGAGGTTCAGAGCACTTCTGGGGCCATCAGGAGTGATCTTCTCAGCTGAGAAAGCATACCACCAAGCTGTGGAGATAAAGACAAAAGGCCTTAGAAGGAAACTAAGAGTGTCCCTCTTAGATCCTCTTGGAGGCTTTTTAGGAAGAAGCACCCGAAGAGACGAAGAGGGCATGGCATCACATCGATTCCAGGCATGGCATGTTCATGAACTCCACGGTCATCTATCGGACGCTTTTCCCAGAGTTGCTCACCTGCAGTGGACAGCGCAGTCAAAATCATTGGACTCAGATTCAGCATTAAAACATATTAAAACAGTGTTCAAGCAGATGTAGATTGCTTTTGAGTTCTTGGCTCCCAGAGACTGTTTGCTCAGGTCAGCAATTCTGGACAAAGGGCTGCTTCGCTACTTGCCCGGTGCCTCAGATGTACCCTCAAAAGATCAACTTGGGAAAGTATGTGTAGAGAAAGGTTGCTTGGAGCACATGCATACTTGGCATACTCCACCTCAAATGCATGATCCATCCATTGCTCCCTTCCAGGCTTGACATTCATGACCTTTCGCCAGTGTGGCTTGTGATAACCCCCTAAGGCTTCGTCTCTTGCCACGAGACACACGTCTTGGCGATTTCGGAGCTTTAGACGGGCAGTACTCCAGGCGGACTGCAGCCTGGCTTTGCTTTGCCAACAAAATCAGAATCATGTTTGCAACGTGTTGCAACCTTTTTCATCGCAGGTGGCTGAACGACACAGGGTGGGTCACAGCCTTTGCCTTTGATGGTGTCACCGGTGTCACAGAGATCACAAATGGTGCTGTGACTCAGGCAAGAGCTTTGGATGACTTCTCTACTATTTTTTTCATGCAAATGTGCTGCTCTGGTGTTCAGAATTACACGTCCCAAGCGCGGTACACTAGCGCAGGTCGATCTGGCTGAAAAGTTGGAGATAGACACCGCCTTAGTGTGCCACCTTTGTGCTTCAAGAGAGTAGCTACAGTTCGCCGTATTCTCAAAAGAAACAAGCCGTTAGTCAAGGATTGGTACCCAGAGCCTTTCGATTGGGTCATGTGCTTGGAGGCGTTCCAAAAGGATTTCATTGAATCGGCGTAAGCAGGCTTGACAAAGCTATGGCACTATGTGAAAGGCTGTTCCATTTACCCAACTCTGCTGTTCCTCTTGATGGTTCTCCACCTAATTCAGGTTTCACATTGCCAATGGTTTGTTTTGAAGAGTGAAACATCAAAAAGTTGCCTGCAATCAGCCAGATCATCTCCTTGGAAACCTCGTTCATGAGGGGTTGATTCGAAGGTGGCAGAACACATCCCTCCTGAGCACGAGGAGCAGTTCTTGCAAAATCTAGGCCTGACGATATGTGCAGTCAGGTTTGTGTAAACAAGGGCACGGCATTGTCAGGGATTTTGGTGTTTCTTAATGCGCGCCAAGTTGCCTTCGTTGCCGTTTCCACAGCGGCGTGACGGCGTTGTTAGAGCATGTCGATTCGTGTTTACAGGAGTTTCATTCCTTAGGTGTCAATTAGACCGCCCCTGCCAGCATTTCATGAACTTGGCTGAGCTGCCCGATTTTGGACCCCTTTTTATCAATCCCTCATCGTGCAGCTCGGCACAACTTGGCCACGTCTTCCCACAAATTCGTTCCATCTCTACACCCAGCTGTTGACATACAAGTAACAACAACTACTGCTTCTACTACCACCACTACCACTACAACCAGTACCACTATTAATTGCCACTACCACCACCACCACCACCACGACGACTTCAACTTTTGCCACCTGTTAGCCGATCCTGTAGCTACACAGCCAGTCAGCCGGCCGCCACTGCTATGTGATCACATGGGGTGGCGGGGTGGGAGCGTACGTTGCACTTGTTACGCAACTGACTTGCTACGCCACTCGTTCGTCGCTTGCCACGAGGCATGCCAGGACAAAAGAACAGAACGGAGAAAATGATCGACAATGTTTGGGGGCACTTGAAGACATTTGTCCCTAAGACCTTGAAGACCAAGAATGGTCAGCCCATGAGATGACGGCCGGCAAGTCGGGGATCGGCCGGCCGGCCGGCTATGTATATCGTTTCTGCAGTACGTAGCTGATACGTGTGTGACTGGGCGCCCGGCCGGCTGTTTGGCCTGGACGGGCCGGTTGTAGCAAGTGAGTTGCGTAACAAGTGCAACGTACGCACCACCCCACCCATCCGGCCCCCACCCTATGTTGTCACGCAATACTTGTCTAGCTCTCATCACGCTGCAGTGACCTACGTACTGCAATTTACGCTCGCACAGGCACAGGGTTTGCCTCGAATCATACTTGAGAGACATTGAGAGTCGCGAAAGAGCGGACCAACTGGAAACAAAAGTGAATGAAAGTGCGACCATCACACCACGCCGATTGTATGTACTTGCTTCGGCGCCATTCCAAAGAATAATAACAAATCTGGAGAGCCCCAACTGTTTTGCAAGGAGGTTGGTAAGAAAGAATGTATAATATGTTAGTTGTAATGCGAATCATTGTGGTGCTGTCATCATGTGGCCGGTGCACAACGGTTGGCCTGAGAAGGACGAACATGTGTGTTTTTTAAGTGTTAAGTTACATCATTGTAGCATGTGTGACATACCCAATTTGCACTTCAGCCAGTTCGCCCAAGGCAGGCACGCCTCTCAGGGCTTAGTCTTGTCGGGAGCCCACATGCGCAACGCCCGTGGAAGGCTGACTTTCCTCTCTCAGGTCTTTCACAGGGATAGCGACGTCCCAGATTGCAAATGAATACATGGTAGGAAGTTTCAACCTGCTTTTGTACCTAGGTGTATGTATAAGGATTTGTGTGAATTGTCTTTGGCCAAGCCTGCAAACGTACCGCTGAGATCCTGGGCACCCCCGGGCATTGAGGGCGAAGGTCACGTCAACTGCCAGGCACAGTTCCATGACTTGATGCGCTTGAACCACTCCAAAGACTACAAAGGGGTCAACATAAACGCCTTGAGCCTTTAAGACTACGATTGTAGAGAGTCAGTCCCCGAAAATGGAGAGTTGTGCTCAACAGGATCAAGGTAACAACTAAACGTTTATTCACATGCTTTCACAAGATTAAGGAGCTCGAGGAGTCCAGACAGCGCGTGGAGGCTTGTACCTTGTAGACGCTGTGAGTCTGAACTTTGCCCCACTTGCACCCGTTGGTCACTGGCCCCTTTTGGGTTTGCGTTTCTTTCAAGGGAGCAAACCATGCAAAATCTACTCCAAGGCGTTGGGCTTCAAGCAAGACACTGCTGCAACAGAAGCCTTGCGAAGTGCCTCCGAGGCACCTTTGGGTGGTTACACATGAAGCTCTGGATGTGTTCATTCATTGCCCTGGCAGATTCCTTGGATAGCTGCTTCTGTCGCAATATATCGTCGAATTCTCGATATATCGATGGTAATATTTATTGTATTCAATCATTTACATTTATTGAGTATATTGATAAGTATAATTCTTTAAAATTATATATCTATTTATTTGTCTTCTTTTTCTTAAAATTTATAGTTTATGAATAGAATTATTCGTTTTGAATTAGTATAATATTAACGGAATAGATAGTATATATATATATATATAACTAGTCTAATTTTTAAGAAAATGTTTTGAAAATATGTTTTTTTTCCATTTCTAGTAGTGGTCAATTTTTGTTCGTGTTGGGTAATAGCGGTCGTTACGATAATTGATAATTTAAGGGTTAATATATTGGATAAAATCGATTTCCGTAATTACGTAGGATTTTATAATTCGGATTCCGTAATTATTTGCTCGGATTCCGAAATTAATTATTATAATTATTTCGGATTATATAATCGGGATTTTATAATTAGAATGTAATAATGGGATTTCGTAATTAGGATTCCGCGATATTGGGGATATTTTGAATAGGATTCCGTAATTTTGCACGTGTTTGGGGAATTGGGAATTAATTATATTGATTTGGATGGATATTATAGGCAAATACGTTATCGTATGATGCGGATATTATTCGTCGCGGAATATTAATTATAGAAAATATTTTTAATTTTGGAATATTAATTAATTTTAGAATTTAAATGTTAAAATTATATGATTGAAGATTTCGTAATTAAAACTAATATATATGGATATTTTTTATATATGTTTATTAAATCGTTTTGGTTGTGTTGGGTAGTTATTAAATGGGAAGGATGCTACGATGAAATATGTTGTTTACTATATTTATAATTAATTATATTTTAAAATATTAAGCACTTACACCGATCGTGATTTTTTTTTAGCAATTGTTGAAAACATAGCACCTGATTGCGTTGCATTGCAAAACAGTAGTATGCATCGACCTTTGAACATGGTTCCTATTATTTTCGCATTGATTGTGGGTTTTTGAAACAACATTAGGTTTAAAATCGTCGTATGCAATTTACCACGGATAGGAATTTTATGCGCAATTTTGGTTGTTATGGACCTTTTGTTCTTTGTCCTGCCCAGGTGGTTTGCGCCTCGGAAACCGGTGCTTGCTTTTAACAGCATTGATAGATTTGCCATTCGTACGGCTAGATTTGAGCATATTATACACTGGCAACAATTCGAGGTTTGAATCCGTCAATGCATTGCTAGATATATTACACCTCACCAATCACATGAGATCTCCATACTCGCTTTTGAACAAGAACTTAGAATTATATGTTCTCTTTTCTTTCCCAAGCGACAATAACGGATCCTTTATGCACCCCATATTCCTTCCATGATTGCCAGGATGGGGAATGTCCGCAAATAGGTTCTGGCCGTTCGAGGCCGCAGCATTCGCGATCTCTTTGAGTGTTGGGTTCATATTACCACCTTCCCAACCATCCAAAGCTATTCGTAAACAGAGTCGATAGAATAAGAGGGATAAATTGCACACGATCCTCACTGAGGGTTCTGATCTTGTCCTTCATGGATGCATTTTTGATTGGTACCGGAAGATTAGGCTCCTGTGTCCCAAACAAAGACCGAAACGAATTCAACTCTTTGATCCTCATGGCATGCCTTTAGCACCGAGGCAAGAGTTGGAATCCATCGAAAGGTATTATCCCAATTGTTTGCCGATCCGATATTTGATATCCGGGAACTCGAACCCCTCACCCGACTTCCCTTCGACCGCCAGGATGTGCTTACTGAGCTTTTGCACCTGCCAAACACCAAAGCCCTGGCACCAAACGGATTGCCAGCACTGATCTGGAAGCATTTCGCGCATGATCTTGTTGATCTTTTAATGTATTAGATTCAGCAGATTTGGTTAAGATATCCCATAAAACTTCCGGATCATTGGACAATAGGATGGATTCATCTCCTCACTAATCCCAATAAATCCCCAATCAAACCACAGGCACTTAGACCGATCTGTCTCCAACACCCGGTCAACAAGATTCTTGCCGGAATATAATGCAGGCAGATAGTTCTGCAGACGTTCGACAGACTTAGATGTCTTCCACTTTATACGTATTTGCCTCAAAGAGGAACCCGTGAATGTCTCTTAATCGTAGTACGCATGATGTGCAAGGATGTCAAGACTGGTCCTCAGCCTAAGTTGCTTGGAGATCTCCAGGTATCATTAGATATGGAAAAGGCATTTGACACGGTCAGTCGAACCTTAGTGCTCCGAGCCTTGAAGCTGTACCACTTGGATTCCGACCTCTTTCAATTTGTGCATTCGTGGCTCACCCGCCATAAGTACTGTATTCCCTTCAAGCAGTTGATCGGACAAATCCAGGCACATCGGGGAATCAAACAGGGGGCCAAAGATGCCCCTTTACTGTGGACACTAATTATGAGCCTCGTACTAGTTGACCTCCAGAACAAGTACTCCCACCAATGGCTTCATGAGCACACATCCATCTTCGGTGGCTAATTCGATCGACAGCCCAAGCCCTTGAAGTTCTCATTGACCTTCAACATGTTTTGATGACTCTTCAAGCCTTCGGGTTCAATGTCAACCTTCACAAATCAGTTGCCATGCTTCGACTCCAAGGGAAAGAGGCACCTGCCTTCCTTCGTCATTGGGTTAATCGACCAACCATTGGCCCAGTCCTGATTCTGCCAGAACGTCGATGGCAGCTACCGCTCGTGTCGAAAACAGCGTACCTTGATATCATCATAGGTTACAGAGCATGGGATACAGACATTACTGCTCGTAGGATCACAGCCGCCAAATGGTGCTTCCGCAATCTCAGGTCCTGGCTTGTGAGTGATGTCTACCCCATTCGAACCAGACTCAAGTTATACAAGCAATGTGTTCTGGCCACGGTTCAATATGGCATTCACGAAATGGGACTGACTCAAAAGGGATTTCGACAAATCATCAACATGATCAACACACATCACCGGACGATTGCACATTCACCTGTGTGTCTCATTCATGAATCCACCATATATTTCTTTGAACGCATTCGTAAACCACCTCCATAGACAACCATCCTCACCCAACGACGGCGGATCCAGGAGGCCCTGTCAACCAGACGGGATCACCTCCGCCTTGAAGCCATGGACAGCGAGATGCCGGATGTGTGAGTGTTTGTCCCAAATCTCTGGATTGAACCTTTGGTCAATCCACCTGATCATCATTCCACCTTGGATTGCACTTAGGCAGTGGCCTGTCCGGAATGCCATCGAACCTTCCAGCAGGCAGGAACGCTGAAACGCCACAAGAGGCAGGTTCATCAGGTCCCATGCGAGCCCGACGACATATTTCAGCCTTTACGGGATGCATGGCAAGGACGTTCGATTTGCACGCACTGTTTACATGTCTTCGTTGATTTTTACAGGCTTCGTGACCATATCAATAAGCATATATGTCCTCGCTTTGATCCTGCTCAGGAGTCGATCGTGCCGATCATCAACCGACCAGATCTCAAAATGCATTTATGCCACAAGTCTGTCCCAGGTCTCTTGTTGAATACAGCCTTGATCAATGAGATAGCCAATCACTGCACTTTTTGTCACATGCGGATTGCTGCTCGCTCGATTAGAAAGCATTTCACGGAATGCCATCCGGACCTGGTTCCATTAGCTAAGCATTTTCGAGACCATGTTCAAGGCATGGCCAACATTGGAGGAGGTCGTGGTAGATGCAGTTTTTGTGACAGTGAATGCCGTGATATAAGAGCACATGAATGTGGTGTCCTCTTTCAGATTTCGGTCATGATGGGGCACACCTTTCAACCTGAACACTTCCCCATCATGCCTGTCATGCAGAAAGCCTCCAGGACCGACACAACTGAATTTAGCTCCATCTCCATTCCACCGCCGACACCGGCCCAGCCAGGTTCGCATGCGACTACATCAGCCGTGCAGACAAGGCCTAATCCGCCCGTCCCTCGTGCCATTGAGGTTAATGAGTCTCATACATCTACAACACCACTGCATGCCTGCCCTCACTGTCACACGAGATTCCTGACAGCCACAAGCCTTGAAAGACACATGTCAACACATGGACATGAAGTTCAGGCAGATGGACAACTTGTTCGTGCCGCCAAGATTCCGAAATTTGATACAGTTCCCGGTTATGTTGAACAAGCCTTGCCAGACAATCGAGGCCCCTTCAAAGTCCTTTCAATGCCCATTGTGTTTGGAAATGGTAGGCCGCAAAGCCTTAGCCAGTCATCTGTCCAAGGAGCATCAGGTTGGGAAACCACCGTTCTTTGTTTTTCGACCTAATCGTGACATGATACCGGGACGTTTGGCTTGTGCACACTACCATACTACCTACACGTCAGAAGCTGCCCTTCGCTTGCACTACCAGAGAGCCAGCTGTCCCATTTTGTTGATTGAATGGGTCAAAGATCAACACTTTGGACCAACTGTGACGTCGCCTGCACCGCCTGAGGCACATGAACCTTCGGACCCAGAGCATTTGTGTTCGACCAGCTTTTCAACCTCAGGGAGGCCAGTCATGGTCGTCAGTGCCCTGTGCATCCCGGTTGACACACCTGCATACACCAGTGACCTGTCTTGGCCATTGTTGACCACAGCATCCATGATCATTGCCCACGCTCTGTATAGCCATGTTCCGTTTTGGCCGGAGCTTCGACTTCGATGGTTTCATGCCTTTATTCATTGGACGGCACACCTGTCCGACCTTCCGCAACTCGACCTTGAGGTCTCATTGCATCACAGACTTCTAGACCTTTGCACGCTGGTGGTTCCGTGCCATTGGGCTTGGGACTTAGAGGATCAAGGAACTCCTGCAATATGTTGACATTGCTTTCCATTCGACAGCCTGGATCCAGCACTTTCATTTTCACAGCCTGTTGTATGAACTAGAACACGTGCTGGCCCAAGACTGGTTCCATCGGTGTTTCGCTTTTGGCCTCCGAGATGGAACGTATGAGCGGCGACGATCAGTCTTTTGCAGAGCTGATGGACGTTTGTAGCAGTCATTTTGCCAAATGTCCAAGAATGGAGGAGGAGGACAGGTCATCCGACCGCCGACCTGCCCGAAAGGGACAGAGGAAGCCTTCGCGCTCATCGGCTTCGGACTTGGGAGAAGATGGCAGCTTGATCTCCATGCTCGCGAAGTTGACACTTCGTCAAGAGGACCAGTTGAATCAGATCCATCTCGACAAGAGCTTCATCTTCTTTGTCCAAGCAGGAAAAGGCAACATTTTACCACTGATGTTGAAGACATCAAAGGACTGGCATGGGCAACGGGAGGCGGGGCAGCTCAACACCTCACTGAGACAGCACATGTTTCGCTCCGTGTTCGAGGAACCAGCATTCAGAGCATCGAAACTTCCCTTCGGATCAAACGATCACGAACTGATCTGGGTCCTTCAGAACAAGCAAGTATTGACGGCAACCAACTCATGGAACTATCTACAATGGGATTCCAAAGAGAAGACTCTGAAGCCTGCAGCACGAGATCCACTCCCCTCCGAGGAAGCCGCAGCCTTGATCCAGAAGATACATTCTCTGGCAGCTCAAGCGGACCTGATCCACCGGTTCTCAGCTTTGAAGCCCATGCCTCAGGATTCCACGGTGACGGACTCAGTGGTTGTGCCTTGGAGATTGGACATCTCCCTTCGGGGCCAAGCGGCTCAAGATCTCTATGCTGCCCTTCAGCAATTGACCGGCAGCGGGCTTACGCAACTGATCTTTGTTCGAATCCGACCATCGACCTTGCAGAGGTCACCATTGGCTCAGGCCATTGCAGCTCGCTTGACGAAATGAGGCAAGCCATTTTGGCACTGTCTTTGGGGAACGGGTCCAACCTCTGCTATATGAATGCAGCAGTGTTGGCTGCACTTTGGGCATGCTGTATGACCGACACCTTTGTCTGGCACGCGGTTGGACAATGGAAAGTTCCTTTATTTCGATTGCTTTCGTGCAGCAACCAGCATCAGGTATTGACTGACACCAGCTGTTTGGGTCATCTTTTGCACTCATGGTTCACGAATCATGAGCCGGGGACACAGCACTGAGGACTCAGGCCAATTGTACGCTCCGATCCTCCTTCAGCAGACAAAAGATGGCGATTGCACGATCCAAGATCTGATCAATCTTTGGCATGACCAAGCTCCTTTCCACTGTGGTTTTTCGACTGACACGACCACCATTTGCCTTCAGGTGAATAGGTTCCCAGCCATGGATGTTAAATCACCTCAATCCTTTCGATGGAATCGCCTTCCTGTCCACTTGCCCTGTTTCGTCAATACCCACAGCTGGACAGTCCACTGGAAACGTTTTGAGATAGTTTCCGTTGTGGTTCACCGAGGCGCAGAACCTCACACCGGCCACTACCAGGCCTGCCTTCGGACTGGAGGCTGTCGCTTCCTGACAGAAGACTGGAGTCGAGCCATACCATGCGCTCACACACCAGACCTTGAGCATGACCTGTATCTTCTTTGGCTCGTTGACAGCACACATCTCACGAGCGCATGGAGCTCACTTCTTTCATGCAATCCGTTCGTGCCTTTTTCGAGCAGCCATGAACACTGATGAATGATGTCGCCCGGGGCAATAGATGCGCCTGACGCAGCCAATCTACGGATTGAAGCCCAACACGGGCAGAGCTCTCTCTGCCGGAAATGAATAATAATAATAAAATTTGAATATATGTAAATATTTTTTAAATATGTTTATTAAATCATTTTGGTTGTATTGGGTAATTACTAAATGGGAAGGATGCTACGATGAAATATGTTGTTTATTATATTTATAATTGTATTTTTAAAATATTAAAATCAAAATTTGTAAAACGAAATTTTTTTTGGTTTGTATAATCGTCGAATTGTTATTTGTGGGTGATAATACATGAATTATAATTTTGCGGATTTTTAGGATATAAGCGAATTTGGATTGACATTTGATATTTGGTTTGTTTATGTATTTAACGAAATATTTGCAAAATATTTTGTTTTGTAAATTCCATATAATTTTGATATTAACGGGCAGATTAGCATTTATAATATCTTTTCTATTTGGATTAAAAATCTGTCTTTTAGCATTTGGATTCTTTGGATTTTTATTTTAAATGCTTTGCGAGGCATTTTGTTTTGCAAGATGCGATTGATTTCGAGATTAAAGGCCCTCTAATTTGCTTTATATTTTATAAGTATAAGTTTATTCGCCAACGACGACGCGACGTTTCGACGACGCGATACGAGGAAAATTGCAAGGATAATTTCGTTTGAGCCCGAAATATATTATACAAAATTATGTCTTAATAATTGTTCTTTTTAAAGATTTGGAAATTTCGAGACATATACAATTTAATCCTTAAATTATGTCCTTTTTCCATTTTTTCTTCAAATACATTTGGTCTATCATGCATCAAAGGAAATTTAGTATACGAAATTTCCGTATTACGGATATTCAAGAATTATTCATCCATTCATCAATATTTCATTCATCATATACCACTCATCAATACACCACTCATCATACACCACTCATCATACACCATGTATCATACACCATTCATCATACACCACTCATCATACACCACTCATCAATACACCACTCATCAATACACCACTCATCAATACACCACTCATCATACACCACTCATCATACACCACGTCAATACACCACTCATTGGGCACAGGGGCCACCTCCCAGAAGGAGATGCTGCCTCCCGCGTCCCCAACCGTTACACCAAGCCAGGTCCTGCTGTTGACCAACCCACGCTGAGCTGCTGGCTGCTGGCAACGCTATCTAGTGCGGCGTCGATGCCAGAAGCCCCTGCTCCAAACCCTGACACCCATCGAGCGCCCGACAGAGCAACTTTCAGTAACAGTGGAGCCAAATCTGGTGCTCCTACGCTGACAAGACAAAATCCCTTGGCAGCGCAAGGAACTGACCGATCTTCGTCAAAAGCCCGAGGTAAACCTCCTCTGCGGTAACGCAGCTAGAGGATCGGAATGACCAGCATATGGGCTTCTGTCCGCCCCCACGACCACATGCACATCCGCAAAAGTGTCCTGTTCAGTGACTTATTGTTTTTGACCTTAGCAGACTACAGATAGGATATAGGTCTTTTTGCGAAGGGGCATTGCCCCACTGACTTTGGTTTTCCTGTTGGCCCTTGGATGGCCCCAGCCCCTAACATATTTTGGCTCACAGCAAGTAACTGCCCTCAGCAAGCAGGTCCTTTAGGTTTCTGTGCTTCTTGCTTACAGTTTGCGCTCACGCACGCTGTAACATGGCAGTCCATCCCACCTTGGGACGCCACGGCCCCCACCCTGCGGCCTCTGCAAGAGCCACTCCAATTGGAGGACGATGGCACACCTGTCAGTTTTACCTAGTTTGCCCGGTTTGAATTGGAGCATAATGACAAGTCGGTATGGGGTTTTAGATTTGACGGTCCAATTTCCTTACAGAGGGGGTCGAGCTCAGTGTTATTTGCTCCACTTCTTCCCAGTGGGTGCAGAAAAAGAAAAATTCAAAGCGACAGACTCAGAGTGGACCGAAGGTTTCACCTTCCCGCCTGCTCTGTTGAAGCTGATGATCACGCATGAGGGCTCCACAATCCAATTGTATCACCAGGAATGCATTGCAATTACCAGAGGAGCCACTATATATGGCTCCAATCGGTCTTATTTGCGCAGAATGATAGTGTGCATATCAAGTACCATGAAGAACCGCTGCTAGCGTACTTGGCGGAGATTGCGCCGTCCAGGCCGGTTGAAAGAGAAAATGATCCTCTCAATGCATATCTGCAAAGGCGCCCCTTCCCGGCGGCACTGCCGCGCCGACCAGGCTTTTGAACTAATCCCGACGCCCTCCCATTCCCTCCCATTCGCATCGATGCCACATCAACGGAGCGGGAACTTCCGCAGCGAAACACCGGGTGCGCACACTCCCAAATTGAGACGGCGCTGTACGATAGGGCGCAGGCTCTCCAAACAGTAGTTGAGGACATTGAGCAGACAGTAGAACAGCTGCCGCCTGATGTTCAGGGCGCTCTGATCACACCCCTTGCCACACTGCACGCACAACTTTGCGGACTCTGTATGTGGCTATGCTGTTTGCCCAAACACCCCCGCATGCAGACGACCATGACCAATTGTTAAAGGGAGGGGGAAAAGAGTAGACCCGTTTTGCTACAGTGTTTCCTTCAGCACGTACACTATCTACGTCATACGGTACGTGAGTGCATCCACATTGTGCGTTTGGTGCTTTTTATTCTGTTTCCTGGCAACACGCAGTCATGTTCGGTTCGCGAGTATTTTTGCTTGCTAGAGTAGATTTCGGCTCATAGCAGCTGTCCGAGCCGTGTCCATCGGGAGTGAAGTCAGCCTCAGCTGAAGGCACTCCCATCTTTTGCAACCTGTATAATAACTCCTTCTTAACTTGACCAAGGTGACTTGTGCAGAACCTGCACACATAGCGCCTCGACTCGTGCAAAAAATCAGCTGAAGGCACTCCCTTGTCACCTACATACGTTCGCGCCTGCCTGCGCTTCTGCCAACCTCAATTGGTGGATTTCGTACTTGCTTTTTCGAACTAGGTGCAAGAGATGCTTACGGCTCCCTGGCGTTCGTCTTCGGGTCCTGCTTCGGCAGACGGACACGCAGATATGCAAGATAACCCACTGAATCTCCATGCAGGCATTGATACAGAGGCTTCAAAGCCGGCGGCATACTCACACGTGACCGCTGATTGGATCTCAGCAGCTGATCGCATCCTTTTCGAACAAGGCAGCCTTGCTACTGACCCATATGCTAAAGAGGATCCACAGAGGGCACTGGCCATGTTGGACCAGGTAAGTAGTCCGTTCGGTCTCGATGCAGCCCAGCCAACGGTTGTTTTGGCGGGTGTCCGATCGCAGCCGCCAAATCAGGATGCTGGATACAGCACGGATGAATCACTCGGGGACCTCCCCGATATGACAGCAGTCATTCATACCCTGTTGCTGCACAAAGAGCTCATCACCCAAAATCGAATGATTTACTTAATTGCCGATAATAAGAAGCCTGACTCGGTGCCACACTGGCCCGCTTTTGCTGCATGGTGGGCCTCGCGCAGACGTCTTGTAGGCCCTCAGGAAGAGAGTACTGCCACATGTGCGTAGTGGCTAAAATTGTAGGTTAAGCACGTGAGCTTACCGCTCGCCTACCATGGACAGGAGCTAAGGCTCTCACCCTAAACATGCTGAGAGCAGTTGGTGGTTAGCCGTTGAGCCTGCCGAAGGCGCTTACGTGTGAGCCTACCACCCTCCTACCAAGGACGAGCGCTAAGGCTCTCATCCTGGTAAGCGGCCACTAGCAGGGACCATCAACAAGGACATCTGCAGAATGAGAGAAGTGTACTTTACGCTAACCCAGGCATATGCCCTGTGTCGGGAATCATGTGTAGTCAAGGTGGCCATCGCATCGCTGGACAAATGGCAAAGGCATTTTCTTCTGCATGCCGTCGGAGTGCAGTACAGTGCAGTTCCAACAAGTGGCTTCTGCACGTCATCCGACCAAAGCAAACACAGCTAAAGCTCTGGTTGCTTTGTGGCTGGATGGGTTCAGTCTGAAGCCAGCAAACCATCATTCAACACCAAACCTTGGGCATCAAGCTTTGCTAATTTCCTGTGGGCTCCATGGGCACAGACACAAACTAGACGACGAGTGGCCCGAAAGCATTTTTCATCACGTAGGAAATCAGAGTGCGAGTTACCCGGTACGTGTGTAGTGAGAAGTGTTAAGTCGAGTGAGTTGAGGTAGTGTGTGGGTTTCTGT